GGTTTAGGGATAACGGTTTAGGGTTTGGGGTTTAGGGTTTAGGGATTAGGGATTAGGGTTTAAGGTTTATAAGGGTTTAGGATTTGGGCTTGTGGGTTCAGGGTTTGTTGGGCCAGTTGAGGGTAGTGCCTAGGCTTGGGCTTCAGAGTACGTTTAGGATTTCGGCTGAAGGGTTTGGGCTTCAGAGTTCAGGATCAAGGGCTTCAGGAACCACGCAGCCCCATGAGGGCAACATCTCCGCGGACCAATGTTCTGCAGCAACACCTGCGATTGAAGCCTGCGTGCTTCTCGGGGAGATGTCTTCCAAATCTGTGTTCTGATGAGCAGTTGTACGTAATAATGAGGGAGCCTTGGCAACTTGACGCCCCAGCAAAACGTGTTCAGATGCTTTCGTGTTTATCCTCCTACAAGCCTTACCCCTAAAACCCCTCGAATGAGTAACTTCCATAACCAGGGCTATATATATATATATATATATATATATATTTATTTGTTTATTTGTTTATATGTATATACATATATATATATATATAACTATAAGTCTGTAAGCGCAGTTATCCCCTGATCCTCGGAGTACACCCTGAGCCCCCCCCCAACAAAGCCTTATAAAACCCTACAGACGTTTGTCGAACCCTTGCAGAGCCCTTACCAACCTTATCCGTTGCATGCTGGAGGCACGACCACATGGAGAAGCTGGAGAGGCAGTTCCATCGGGCCTTTGACGGCGAAGCCGTGCAGGATGTTTGCGGTCTGTCCCGGAAGGTTTAAGAAGAGACAGACGAGATTACTCCCTAAACCCTCCATCCATCTAAACCCTAAGCCCTAACCCTGAATCGTAGCGGGCATTTGCCCCGGTGTCCGGAGGAGGTTCACTCGGAGCTTTTTCTCAACAGGGGGTTCTATAAACAGCTCTAAGGGCCTTTCTCAGCGAAGTCTGTTAGAGTTGGAGTAGGCACTTCAGGGAACCCGAATACAAAGTTACCTTTACTTGCTTGTACGGTTTTGTGGTGCTTCGACGGGAGGCGGATATTTCGGTTGGCTGACATTGCCCCATGGAGGTAGGGTTATGACGGCGCGGGCTGGCGGGGCCGGCTGCCTTTGTCTTGACACTGCTATATGGGCAGTTCTCTAAATTAGGGGGTCCTTTTTATAGGGGTGCCGTACTATATTGGGACCTAAAATGGGCCCTAATTTAGAGAACTACCCCTGTAAGAGCATATTCCTTCTTCTTCTCCCTTAAGACCCTTTGGATTATGCCGGGCTCTGATTCTGGGCTGACTCTGGGCTTGTCAGCGCCCGCTTATTCCACGGCGCTCCACGACGCAAATCTGAGAACATCAGGTCATATGTCAGCAAGGCAAGCTAACTAGCTAATTTCCCTTCTTCTGCATCAAGCGTGATGGTTTTTCCTCAGCCTGATCGGAAAGCCTATCCTGGTGACAAGCCCCATTCTCTAGTGCCACCGACGGAAGTGCAGATTCGGGTTGCAGTCTTAGGCCTTTTTCTTGTGCAGGACGAAGAGGAGGGCGAAGATGACGAAGAGAAAGATGCCCCCGGTCATGCATTCGATGGTCGCATATACCAAATCAGACCCCCTTTGAGGAAATTGCACAGTTTTCGTCGAATTTGTCCTTACTTTGGAAATTTGCGGCTTAGTGGGTCGATACAGCGGAAAGCAGAAAAGTAGTGGACGTTGGCAGGCGCCTGTGATGACATGGCAACTCACGAGCATCTTTCCTTGCTTCCTTCACTCGCCTGTAATCGGTACTTTGACTTTCTGCACGGACAGGACAGCCGCACCATTTGCATTCATAACATCTGTCGCAGTTGCTGCTACATCCCAGCCTCACCTTTTTTGCTTCGCACTGCCATGATGATCTCGGGGTTGAAGGTGATGTTAGAGTCCGATAGTCTGCATCCCAAACCAACCCGCTAAGCCCGGACGTGAGGATCCAAAAGTCGAAATCCGAAGTCCTAAACCCTAAACCCTAAGCCTAAACCCTTAGACCCTAAGCCCTAAACCCAGGACCCTAAACCCGAAGTCCTTAATCCTAAACCCAAATCCCTGAGCCTAAATCCCTAAACCTTAAACCGAAGTTCGAAAACTTTTCATCTCTCGGGTCGTACCAAGGCCTCCTCTAGCGAAGAGTCAATCGACGGACCCGGCCAGGCCATCCTTCCTATTATGATTTAAAATAAATTCCTTAATTAAGGGATATTGGAGTCTCTGACTTCAGTATCTTCAGTACTTGTAGCAATTATCATGGGTAGGGTTTCGGGTTTAGGGTAGCGGGTTTGGGGTCTAAGTTGAATATCGTAAACCTCTGATGAATAGCCCCCCCCCCCCTTCCGCCCCCATCCCAATTTCCACCCCCTCCCCCTGCCTTACTGAGGACTTAGGAGTATACAAGGGAGGGTGCAGAGGTTTACGGTTTTGGGGTGTAGGTTTGCTAGAGGTTAGGGTTTATTGTTTAGGATTGGAAGTGTAATATCCTGCCCCCCGCATCCCGGCTAGAAAGGGATCAAAACCCAAAACCCCAAAATCGTCCCAATCTCGCAAGTATATTATATTGAGTTTGACGAGCAAACGCCTGAAGCTATACCGACTTTTTCATGATTAAAGAAAACTTATTATAGAATCTGAATAATTACATGAGGTTGATTCTTTGCATATTTCCAATTACGACTTTCGTTGCCGATTGCTTTTATTATAGTGGTATTTAGCTTCTACTATAAGGACCACATAGCATCCATGCCTCACCTCTACCATCACGTTTCTTGTTCGTTTGGCACGTTTTCTGTGCCATGCACGTCGTGCTCACGTTGTTTTGGCGTTTTATTTAACTCCCATAAACAGAATCCTCGACTCCATCGCCGCTTTTAAACCTAGCTTCGAGAACCTGACCGTGCAGACTCAAGCACAGGTTTGAAGGTCATGGATGGCTTCACTGGAGGACAATGCAGCAGATGCAGAGAAGGAGATGGATGCCTCTCCTGCAGCCTTTGGAAGGCAAAACTGCAGAGACAGTGTCTCACTGCAAACATGGCTCCCTCGACCCTGCCTAAAGCTGCTTCGAGATCTGATGCGTCATGCAACCCAGCTACTGGCACCAACAGCCTGCCGGCACACCAGGCACCTGTCTCTGTGCAACTTGTGACGTGTCAGCGGCGGCTGTTTGTTGAGAATATATTCCTGGACGTACAATTGCAACCAGATGGACATGTTTACATTGCAATCTTTGCAAGACCTAAGATTCCATCGCATGGGTAGTCCTCTAAATTGGAGTCGCATTTCAGGGCCCGGCAAAAACCTGATGAAAAGGATCCGAACATGAACCCTAATTTAGAGAACTATCCACGTGTAGATTTGTCTCCCCATCGTGCGCGTGAAGCGCTGCCTCACTCTAGGATCCGGGCTTCAGGATTGTCCTGGGGTTTAGGCCTAAGGTTCCGGGTTTAGGGCTTGTTCTTTTAGGTTTAGGGTACACGGTCTGCGGTTTCGGAATTTGGGTTTCGGGTTCAGGGTTTAGGCGGTTTAGGGTTTAGAGCACCTAGACTTCCTGAACCCCTGGGCAGTTTTTGATTGACTGGTCAGAGGGTGAAAGTCCTGTAAAGGTTCACTGCCGCAGATATTTGAATGACTATTAATTTCTTACTTTTCGTCCTTGTAGAGCTATACAAAATGTATCAGAACATACCTGCAACGCCCCATCCTAATCATTAAGGCCCCTAAGCCCTGAACCCTAACCCCTAAACCCTAGACCCCTAAACCCTAGACCCTAAACCCCTAAACCCTAAACCCTTAAACCCTAGACCCTTTTCTGATTGCGCTGACTGCTGCAGGCTGACAAGCTGCAGCTGGAGGAGATCGAGGAGGTGTCTTATCCCAAACATTTCAGGGCCCTGGGCCTTCGGGTTTAGGGTTTAGTGTTTATAGGGTCTCGGTTTGGGGTTTAGGGTTTATAGGGTTTCGGTTTGGGGTTTAGTGTTTATAGGGCCTTCGGGTTTAGGGTTTCGGAATGTTGCAGAGAGGATTTAGGGTTTAGATTGGATTCAATCCACGGGCCTGAAGTCTTAGTCGTAAGTGGATTAGGGTTTCGCAGTACTTTGTACTTTCTGTTCCTATGGCATATCTTGACTATATGGGACAGGATGTGATTGCAGACGTATGTTCTAAGCAGAGAGCCGTTGACCCGGTCTTTACAGACCAGTGATGCACTTCGAAGCTCCAGGAAACCACGCCGAGAGGAGAACTTCACAGCACAGTCCAAGATGCCGCCTCACTGAAGCCATGAGCAACACGAAACTCCAAAGTTAAGAAAGTACTGGTAAGCGGTGGAGATGGTCCGCTTTGAAGAGGTACTATACTCCTTACTAATCTAGAAGAGGCCTCCTTTCAGGTTCTGTGTTCCTTTTGAGGTGTGTACTCAGCGTACTCAACGGGCTGAGCACACCACGGGGCGAAGCAACCGAAGCTTCAGCGAGTCGCGGCGGCGACATTATAAAGCCGTAGCCGGTGGGTCGAGGGTTTAGGCTCCTGGATTTTATCATGTAACTTCCTGGACCCGAGAACCTTCCAACCTTCAAGTGAGGTAAGGGGCATGCAGCTCGCCTTGCTTCGGCCATCCTACCATAGCCCTGGCAAGGTTGAGCTCCCACCTGAGCCACATTCTCCCGGCGGAACTCCTTCGCCGACAGGCGTCCAGCTGAGTGCGACTGGGGCTGAATTTAGGGTTCTAGGGGGTCAAAGCATAGAATTTGTGTTTGGGTTTGCACCCGTCAGGTCCTTCTGCTTTGGTGTTTAGAGTTGCGATGTGGTGTTGAGGGTCTGGTGTATGCTAGGGCAAGCACCGTTAAGGTTTTCACGTTTCCCCTCAACTCTGCAGCCTAAACCCTCAAAGCTAAACCCCAGAAACCACCCTAAGCCCTAACCCCATAAACCCAAACCCCTAAACTCGAGGCCCCATGAACCCTAAACCCCCAACACTAAATCATAGACAAACCCGCAGCAGCATCGTCGTTCGCCATCGTGGTATAGATATCGTAGAGCCACCTTTTTTAGGTCACTGCTGGCAAGCCCTACAACCACCAAACAAGCTCTACAGGGTTTAGGTTTAAGGTTTAGGGTTTCGGGTTTAGGGTGTAGGGTGTAGGGTTTAGGGGAAACAATACTACCAGTTGTTTAGGCCCCTTCATCAAGGTGCTTCCTGGTGAGCCTGAGCACGGTTAAAGATGGCCGTTCATCGCGACCAAGCCGAAAGTTTCGGGTCTGAGAGCTTGGAATTTAAGTTTGAGGGTTTGAGGTTTTGGTCCCTAGACCCTAAACTCTAAAAGCCCTAGCCCTAAACCGTTTTAATTACCAGGTCTTCTGGCGCAAGCTAAGCCCTAACGGCCTAAAGCCCTAGAGCTCGAAGACCCTCAAGCACGAGCCTGAAGCCCTGAACACACGGTTGAAGATTTAAACCCTAAACCCTAAACCCTAAACCCTAAACCCTAAACCCTAAACCCTAAACCCTAAACCCTTTATGGTTCTGGGGTCTCCGGTGGTTTCTTACAGTAAAGCTTATAGGGTTTGGGCTTCGGATTCAGGGCCTAGGATTCAGGTTGTAGGTTTCGGATAGGGGGTTCTGGGGTCTGAAATACCGTACATCCCTCATTTGAGCACCACCTTTCTCTTTGGGCCCTGGGTTTAAACCTCATCCTAAACCCTAAACCCTAAACCCTAAACCCTGAACCCTAAACCCTAAACTTGCCCTAAACCCTAAACCCTAAACCCTTACAATGTAAAGGCTGTGATTGCTCAGGCGTCTACGGAACTTAGGGGCCGAGTTTGAGGTTTGCTGTTCTGCGTTGCACTCTCCTCCCAGCCCGTACCATGAGGGTACGGTTTCGCATTGCGGGTTTAGTCGTCGCTTGGGTTTAGGGTTTAGGGTTCAGGGTTTAGTAATTTAGGGTTTCGGGTTTAGGGCTTAGGGTTTTCTCAAGCGCCTCTACACACGCCTGGGACCTAGATTTCAAACCCCTAGTCAGAGGATTCCGCGCGCACGAAACTCCACATCACTCAAGGGGCCAGAGCCCAAATTGCCAAAGGCACACAACCCTCGCAAAAGCCTTGAATTCTGAAGTGTCGGGCTACCTACCAATAAGTAACTTTTGGGGTGGTTTTCATAATATAGCACCACCGTCCAGAAAACCTGTCCTAGTTGTCAAGATCCACAATGGTAATATAGGGGCCTGAATAATTATCATTTTTTTTTGCGCGGGGGAGAGGGTGGGTCCTAATTATGGTTATAGTATAATGTCCCCCGATACCCTGTTATACTTATTCAGGCTCCTACACTCGCATGTTGCAGTAGAGACTGAACCCCCCTTGGCCCTGAACAGAGGACCGAAACATTCAGAGCCGGACCCTTGCATTCCTTTGTAGTATAGGTAGTATTCGGGAGACCCTTTAAAGGGGACCCTTCTTAACCCTACTTCTGGCGCTCTTAAATAAAAGAGACCTTCTTGAGAGGGTCTATATCCCCAAGGGTTCCCCTAGTCCTAGCTCCCAAAACCCCGGAATCCAAGCCCAGATAAACCAGAGAGCTTGGGGCCCTAAGATCCTGGATCACACAACCCTGCACCTCTGAGGGGAACCCTACCTTTACCCACCAAAAAAGGCCGGGTTTTATTATAAACACCAATATGGAATTCATAGGGACCCTACAAAAGAGGTAGGTTTTGGTAGGTTAACCCTACGCCCTGCACCCTAAACCTTAAGGTAGACCTTAGGACATGAAGCTCCTAAACAAAGCCCAGGGTTTGGGGTTGAGGGTTTAGGGTTGAGGCTTTTAGGGGTTTAGGGTTTAGTTTAGGTTTTAGGGAAGACAGTGCCCAGGTTTGATCGGCGTGTGCCCCTTCCTCCTGAGGAGACTGGGGCCGATAATGCAGAGGTCCGGGCTGGGGGGTGTCGCCTGGAGCTTGACATTTCCTTATAGCGATGAGTGATAAAGGTTGGTATAAACCCTAAACGTTCAGTCCCTTCG